AGAAATAAAATGACGGCCCATGATGCCTATTGGATTGTTGTTGTTTTTTTGTTTTTTTCAGGCCGATAGATTTTTCTGCTAATGACTCGATCTCCTGTCAAGGCTGCTGAACTCCCCGCTCTGTCAGCACCTCCAACTGAAACTAATAAAACCACAGAAGCCGAACATGAAACATAAATTCTCTGCGCGCTCTCATTCACAGCTCCCCTTTAACTCAAATGTCTGTTTACTCCTCAGCTGTCAGCACTTAGTTTGTATTCTCATACGACAGAGAGAGGGGAGGAGGGGGCATCATGCAAAGCGGACGTTTGATACTGCGTTGCCTGGCAACAGAGTCAGGCAGCAGCCTTTTTTCAGAGTGACTCAATACAAAGTGTCGGAGTTGACGGCGCTTTGTGCACGCGTGTGCAGGAGAGCCATTAAACCATCCCGGCCGCACAGAAAGACGCCGACCGCCGCCTTTTGTGAGATCCTGCGGGCTGATTCCGCACAGTAAGCAACGCCCCAATAACAAAGCCTCACCTCCACACCAAACAGCCCTCATCAGCACAAAGGGCCGGTGATTCCCTCCTCTTAGTATTTTTGCCTCAACGAACCACTCCGCCAAGACAGGGTGTTTGGTGTTGTTGTTTATTAAAACTGGGTTAAAAAGGCATCAGTACGGCGTCATCAAGGTGCTAAATGTAATGATTTAGATCCTATAGTTTTTCAGCGTCATTCCTCCTTTTTTTAATCTTCCTTTCCAGTTGTCAGACTTTCTTGAAATCTTTCAAAGTGGTATTCATCAGCAGCTTTCTCGACTTTCTGGTACTTAAGCAGGTTTTGTTCAACACCTTAGCCACTTTTTTTCCAGCCAGGTGAAGTGGTAACACAGATAAAAACGATCAATTTTCGTGAACATTCAAGCGACAACTGAAATACAGTTAAGATATACAGCCAAGAATGTTTATTGACATGTTTTAGGTGAAAAAAAAGAATTGACCTAAAGTGAAAGCAACCACACAAGCCAGGAGTATGTAAGCCAAGAGGAAAAAAAAGAAAATTACTTTCATACCTGCTCTAACGAAACTAGAAAAAATAAATGAAAAGAAAATGGCCTCTGCAAACCTCAAGAAACGGATGTGAAAAGCGATGTTTGGAAAATTGTCATAATAGGTGCGGCTATTTGGGAGAAGAGTGAAAAGCTGCCATCATTCCAGGTCCGCATGGATACCCCTTTCCACCGGTAGCCAATCCTGTCCGAGCTCTGAGAGTGTTGGCCAATCGGAGCCTTGACGCCCGGTTCCAGGTCAGGCCTCATACCTGATCATTCTTGGTG